CACAGACAGAATATTGTATACATAATAAATAAATAAATATTTAAAAAGAAATACTTTCCAGCCCATGGTGACCCATACCTAAAATCTCAGCACTGGGATTTTAGACTTGAGTCTAAACTCCTAAAAGTTAAGGTCTGGCTTTTTGGTTCATTTAGTAAATTCAGTCAAGAATTCAAGGATTTGTGTGTGTGTGTGTGTGTATATTGTATTATATTGCTCTCTGTTCTGTGGAAGGACGAAGGGATGCCAGACATGGGCAGAAAAAGGAACCTGCACACATGAGGACTAAAACCAATGAAATACTCAACATGACAGGAGCAAAGATAAAGAGAGACGCTTGTGCTTCTCCCTTTGGTACTGTTGAGGCAATGGACTCAGAGAAATTAATTTCCCAAAATCTCATGCTGGAGGAAGAGAAATGATGCAGCATCATGCTATCCAGAGATCTGCCTTCCAGGAGCAGACTTCACATGATCCTTAGAACTTGTCAGACCACCCTGCAGGAAGCACAAGCTGGGACAGTGGGCAGGACCATCCCTTGACCCAGGACAGCTTAGTTGTGCAGCCCTCTTGGTCTCTATTTAAGCCTCAACTTCAGCCGGGTGCTGGTGCACACCTCTAATCCTAGCTCTCAGAAAGCAGAGGCAGGTGGATCTCTGAGCTCAAGGCCAGCCTGGTCTACAGGGTGAGTTCCAGGACAGGCAGAGCTACACAGAGAAACCTTGTCTCCAAAAACCAAAAGCAAACGTACACAGCATGTAAGGATCCAAAGATGGTCTTGGGAATCATTAGACCTCTGTCCCTCTTTCCGTAGTGACCTCATTGCATGAATCCCCTTTCTCTGCTTCTTTAAGGGAATATGAAAGGTGAGTGGCTGAGCTTAGCCTGGTAATGCTAGGAAAATCCAGTAATATGACTGGGTATTTGGGGACCACAAAATCTTTATGGCAAAGCCAAAATGTGTTTGGATGGAAACAGTGCTAATGGTTCTGCACTTAGATAAGATGACCTCTTTCAGTACCTAGTCATAAACAACCAAGGGATTCTAAGCGATAACGATGGGGTGTGTGTTTGGTATGTCATTGTAACAGCACACAGAGTACATATTTGCTGGAGCAGTGCTTTGTGACTAACTGGGGAGAAGAGCAGGTTTCGGCTGGAGAGGCAGATCGACAGTGGGTGGCCCAGCTTTCTGAGTCAAGGAATGCAGGCTTTACCGAAAAGATAGTAAAAGGTTTCAACGTGTCCAGTTTGAAGCAATTATAGAATAACCAATATCCGCACTGAACACAGTTTAGAGCTCAGCAGAGTTCTAGGATGGAGATGGAAACTGAATGGCAGTGAGAACAATTAGACCAAATGGTCGGGCACAGAAGAGAATGCTAAGAGCCATGGGGGAAAACATGTCTGTTATCTGGAGAGTAACCAAGCAGCTCCTGGCAACAGGCTAAGCCAAGGGGCAGCAAGTGTCCAACTTACACCTCAGGGGCTACACCCACTCTGGGATAGTTAAGAATTAAGCTCAACCCAAAGCTGTAGTTACTTTGAGATCTTCTAAGCTCAATTTCAAGGTTCTTTCACACTTTTGAAAACTGCCTCTGTGTGTGTGTGTGTGTGTGCGCGCGCGCGCGTGTGCGTGCGTGCACATCTGAGTCTGGGTTTGTGAATTTAAATGCAGTACTTAGCAAGGCTAGAGGTATTAGGACCCCTGGAATTGGAGTTACATGCAGTTGTGAGTGGCCTGAGGGGAATGCTAGGAGCCAAACTTGGGTCCTCTGCAGGAGCAATATATACCCTTAACAGCTGAGCCATCTCTCCAGCCCTATTGCAGGGTTCTTTGAGAGTGAATTTCATGTTGCAATGTCAAGTTTGGACATCTCTGCAAACAACAAAATACCACCTGGGGAGAACTGGCTATACTCAACAGGTGCTTGAGTTGAGCCTCAAGGGGCAGAAGCCTGTAATCTCAGCTACTGAGAATGCTAAGGTAGCATCATGAGTTCAGGGCCAGCTTGGGTAACTTAGTGAGTCCAGTTCCAAAACTAAAAAAGGAAAGAAAAAAAAAAAGAGGTAAAGGACTGAGGAAGTAGCTGAGCTGGCAGGGTGATTGTCAAGTACACACAAAGCTGTGAGATTAGTACCCAGCACAGCATAAACAAGGTGTGGTGGCCCACGTTTGTAATCCCTGACCTTGAGAGACAGAGGCAAGAGGATCCTAAGTTCAAGATCATCCTTGAGGCCAGCCTTGGGGAAGAAAGACTGTCTTAAAAAAGAAAAAAAAAAAGTTGATGATGTTGCTTAGTGGTGGCACGTGCCAATCTTGCCTGATGCCCTAGATTTAATTCAGCATGGAAAATCAATAAATTAGCTCTTCAGAAGAGCACAGGTGTTTAAAAAGCTGGTGTAAGAAGCCTGGAGAAAGGACGCGCAAAACTGTGACCGGAGTACAAGGACATGAGCAAGATTTGAACATCAGTGTGCGCCTTCGCACACGTGGAGACCAGAGGGCGGCTCGAGGAGGCCAGTTCTCTCCCACCACGTGGATCCCAAGGATCAAAATCAGGAGGGCTACCATGCTTAGTGGCAAGTGCCCTCACCTACTGAGCCACCTCCCCAGCCCAGGTAGTAACATTTTAAATAACAGTTCCCAAATACTAATCTGTAAATCAATAGGACCATAAAGAAATAATTTATTACTTAATCATGAAATGAGAAAAAATAAATCTTAATTTTTCATAATGCTGAATTTATCATTTTGCATGTCAGACAGTAGTAGTAATCAATGTAGTGTTTATTCACGCTATTGGCAAAATCAAAAGTTGCCATTGTCATTATCAATTTCTTAAATTCGAGTCCTGAGATTTTAAAGCTTATCATCACCGATTCAGAGCTGCCTTTTGTCCTCATGTCCTGTATTGTTCTTTAAACATCCTCTCGAAGAGAGTTCCTCTTGTGGATTTTATGGTGTCGGCTTAGCGACGAGTTATAGCTGAAGGACTTTCCACACTCACTACATTCGTAAGGCTTCTCTCCAGTGTGATGCCTCTGGTGTTTCTTAAAGGATGAGTCGTGCCTGTAGGCCTTCCCACAGCGGTTACACTCATAGGCTTTCACTCCTGTGTGAACAGTCTTATGGTTGCTCAGGTGGATCCTCTGCCTAAAGGCTTTCCCACACTCCTTACACTTGTAGGGCCTCTCTCCAGTGTGGATGCGCTGGTGGTGTGTGAGGTACGCTCTATGACTGAAGGTCTTACAGCACGAAGTGCAGGCGTAGGGCTTCTCCCCGGTGTGAATTCTTACGTGCTCACTAAGGTGCCTAATCTGTCGGAAAGTTTTCCCACATTCGTGGCAGCTGAAGGGTTTCTCTCCAGAATGCGTCCTCAAGTGTTGGACCAGGCTGATGTTCTGGCTGAAGGCTTTCTGACATTTATCACAGACGAACGGTTTCTCTCCAGTGTGAGTTCTGTGGTGCTGGTTGAGCGATGAGCGATGGCGGAAGGCTTTGCCGCACTCCGCACACGCGAAGGGCTTCTCGCCAGTGTGGATTCGCTGGTGGGTATTAAGGGATGCGCTCTGACTAAAGGCCCTTCCGCATTCCTTACATCGGAAGGGCTTCTCGCCAGTGTGGATTCTCATGTGCTCTGTAAGGTGAATGGGTTGTTTGAACATTTTTTCACATATATTACATCCATACATTCTGGCTCCTACGCAGCTCACTGGATCGCTAGTCGAATCTAACTTATCTTTGTTCCTCCGCCTAGCTGGGTTGTATTTATGGTGTTTCTGTTCTAAAATAACATTGGAACTCTCAAGGTTTTCCCCGAATTTATTCGCTTCTTGGTGTCCCTTTTTGTGGGTCAAAACGGCTCGCCACTCACCTTTCCTACAGGTTTCCTGGCGCCTTTTTAGTGTACCATCGTAGCTGGAGGCTTTTCTCAATGTCGGATGAATGGTATCAACCTCTGTGAGCCTTTCCGTCATGGCGCCATGACAGAACTTTAGGGCAATGTCATTCTCTGCAGCTGACTCCTTGGCTTCTGGTTTCCTCGTCACATCTGAAAGACATGAAAGGAAAAAAAGGAACGTAAATAACTCCTCCATAAGATCAACCACTGGGGCTGGATCAACCACTGGGGTTGGAGGGACAGCTCAGGGGTAAGAGCACTGGCTGCTCTTCCAGAGGTCCTGCCTTCAATTCCCAGCAACCACGTGGTGGCTCACAACCATCTGTAAGTGGATCAGATTCCTTCTGGTGAGCATGAAGACAGAACACTCATATATATGAAGTATAGGAGTAAATAAGTATTTAAAAAAAACCAACCACCGTAAGTGTTACAGGATAGAGATTTAGACAACAGTACAGAAAGCAGCATGAGATTTTTACTGTATTTAGATTTAGTTATGCCGCCTGGCCAGGCAACAAGAAATGAAATTAGGAAATAGAGAAAGGGCTGTTCAGTTGGCAGTGCCTGCCTAGTTTACATGAAACCATGGATCACTGCATGAAGTAGATGAGACGGCTTATGCCTGTAATCCCATCACTCGAGAAGTGGAGGCAGAAAGATCAGAAGTTCAAGACAAGCTTGAGATTTGTGAGACCTTATCTCAGAGCTAAACAGTAAGTTACAACTAAACAGTGACTAGCCCCCACACACAGCCGGCCCAGGCAGCAGCACAGAGCCACCAGTTCAGAACACAGGATCTTAAACAAGAGTACTCACAAGAACACTACGCTGCCATTAACTAAAAGTTGCAATTACTATGTTCTTGCATTTAATTCTTTTCCTTATAGCTATTAATGTAGTAGCATTTCATTTATATTTTAATAAATAAAGCTTGCCTGAAGATCAGAGAGTAAAACAGCCCCATTGTCCAGCCTTAGAGACCAGGCAGTGGTAGCACATACCTTTAATCCCAGCAGCCACATTAGCTTGCCATAGAAACCAGGCAGTGCATGCCTTTAATCCCAGCACTAGAGAGGAATATAAAACGGGAGGGGGCAGCTCTCAGTCTCAGTCTCATTCTGAGATTCTTGGAGGCAGAATCGCTGTTTCAGACTGAGGTAGAGATAAGAGTCAGTGCCGGGCTGTTTTGCTTTTTTGGGTCTCCAGGTTGACTTATTTATTAAAATACAAATGAAATGCCACTACATATTAATATATCTATAAAATATGATTCATGCCAAGTAAACTTACAGGAAACCCAGAATGGCTGCTGCTGCTAAGTTTGAGATAAATATCCTTTAAAATTCTGACTAGTTGTTTCAGCTTTTAAATTTTATATTTAATAAGTTTAGACTAAAAATAGAGGTGAGAAGATCAATTATAATAATCAGAATGCACAAGATTCATGTATGAAACTGTCAAAACTCTGTCAACTAAAAAATGTTTTAAATTCTAGCTAGTTTTCTTACTTAGTAATCCATTACACCATTACTAACTAATATTTCAGGTGACGTTTGTATTCATAGAAGGTATAATTTCCTGTAAGGTTTTTTTTATTTTATTTATTTTTTTGGTTTTATAAGACAGGGTTTCTCTGTGTAGCCCTGGCTGTTCTGGAACTCACTCTGTAGACCCAGCTGGCTTCAAACTCACAAAGATACCCCTGCCTCTGCCTCCCGAGTGCTGGAATTAAAGGTGTGCGCCACCACTGACCAGCTTTCCTGGTACTTTTTGACTGTCCTATACCTTTATGAGTTTTCATTGAGTTTCATTTCTCTTTGGAATAGCCTGTTCTTTGTTATCCTGTTTTTTCATTCCCTATGGCACATAGAGTTGGCTTCTAATTTGCTGTTTTACCTGAAATCTCCTGTTGTTTTTTCTTTTTTAGGTGCTAATACCTTTGATTTAGGGTAACGAAGTCAGAATAATCAGTTCCCCCGCCATGCGCCAGAGTCTCACTATATAGCCTAAATTGGTCTCCAGTTCAACTGGTAGCTCTGATTGCCTCCAATTTTTGATAGTCTTGTCTTTGCCTTCTGAGAGATATAGGATTACAGGAATGGGCTACTAAGCCCATTTAGAATAATTAGCTTTGAAAGAAACAAATTATATAAATTCATTAAGTAGCCATCAAGTGCCTTTTAAGGATGCTAAACATTCATAAAATGAGGTGGGTTTTTGTTGTTGAATTTCAAGACAGGGTTTTTCTGTATAGCCCTGACTATCCTGGAACTAGCTCTGTAGACCAGGCTGGCCTCAAACTCACAGAGATCCACCTGCCTCTGCCTCCTAAGTGCTAGGATCAAAGTCATGTACCACCACTGCCCAGCAAGAGTCATATTAAATTAGTGCTACAATCCCCAAACAAGGAATAAATACCACTAAAAAAAACTCATTTTATGATTGCGGTGGTAGTGGTGCACGCCTTTAATCCCGTTAGGCGGAGGCGGGCAGATTTCTAAGTTAGAGACCAGCCTGCCTGGCCTACAGAGTGAGTTCCAGGACAGCCAGAATTACAGAGAAACCCTGTCTCAAAAATAAAAAATCAAAAACGAACAAAACAAAAGACTTATTTAAGTAACCTTTGCAAACTGGAAACATGAGGAGGTTGTATCTCAGCAGCTGCTGTTTTTAGAACTTGGCTCTGCGAGCATCAGCACGGTGTGGCTGGGAAGCTAATCCCAGTCTTTACAAGGATCATGACAAGCTTCTTTCTCTTATAAGTGGACAGTTTCACTATAAGGTAAAGGAAGATTCAATTTGTCTTTAGTATTGCAGGTAATTTAAAAAGTATTGAAAAACTAAGTTTCAATTTGGTCAAATTTCTCCTCTCAAAGGACTGTTTCCAAAATGGGATCTGTCTTTTTGTGCACATTTTATAAACCTCAGGGTAGAGTGTCTTCCCTAGGTCCATAGTGATAATCTGAAAGTCAAGCCATAATTTGACACTGGTTTAAAACTATGGAAATACTGATGTTCAGGACTTATTCCATATGTATCACATTAAAAGAACTTTTTATTTGGAAAGAATTTTGGCTTACAGGAAGGATGGAAGAGAAAAATCCAAAGAATAAAAGTCCAGATTCCATACCCATTACCATTTTCTTCAATTTGTTTTACCATTTGAGCTCTCTTAGTATAATTTATATGTATGTATATATGCATGAATATACGTATATACATATGTTACTAATCAAAGGTCTAACACAATATTTCTTCTGATTTCTGTTGATTAAAGCAGTCACAAAATTCTACCCATGCTCCAGGTGAAAGATAACCTCTACAAATCTATCCTCACAGAAATGTATAAATATTTGTATAAAAACATTTTTCTGAACTATTTATTTGTTTATTACTTGATTTTCCAAGACAAGGTTTTTCTGTGGCTTGTTCTGGAACTCACTCTGTAGACCAGGCTAGCCTCGAACTCTCAGAGATTCACCTGCCTCTGCCTCCTGAGTGCTGGGATAAGAAGTGTACACCACCACTGCCAGGGGTTTTCTGAACTGCCTTAAGGTATATTGCATAATGTCTCTTTCCCCTAAATAAACTCAGTATATATTTACTAATAATAGGTGTTTGGTTAAAACATTTAGGAAGAATACCTGAGACACCCCAGTCACTCCTGGATCTAATCTAGATGCTTATAGCTCCTAAACCCAAAGTCCAAACTTGATGCTCTAGTGCGGTTTGGAAGAGGGTAAACATTTCTTGCTTGGGGGAGGGTTCTAAATTGCTGTGCCCAGAAGGTAGACTGTTAATAACAGTATTTGTGGACATGATTTCTCCTCCCCTTGAGCCTCAGCAAACGTTTTGACTGCTTTAATGACTAAAATGCAGCTGAAGTGAAGCTGGGCTAACATCTGAAACTAAATCTTTGAAGTGCTGCTGGCCAGGTGGTGGTGGTGCACGCCTTTAATCCCAGCACTCAGGAGGTAGAGGCAGGCAGATCCTTGTGAGTTCAAGGCCAACCTAGTTCTAGGACAGGCTCCAAAGCTACAGAGAAACCCTATCTCGAAAACACAAAAACAAACAAAAAAGTGATGCTGGGCTTACATCTGAAACTAAATCTTAAAAGGTGGTGGCACCTAATTATTAATCCCAACACTTGTTGGGGGTAAAGGCTGGCAGATTTCTGTGAGTTCAAGGCCAGCTGTTGTAGAATATTATTTTAAGGTATATTACTTTTGTTTATGCTGTGGAATATTTGTTTCATGATGCAAAGATGTGTTTGACTAAATAAAATTCACCTGTGGTCTGGAGGCTGCATCAGCAACTAGCTGACAGGAAATAGGGAGGAGCCAGGTAGAGAAGGGTTTATAAAGAGGAACAAGAAAAAGCACAAGCTTTCTTGGGAGAGGTAAGAAGGTCAGCTAGCTAGGTGAGCTGCTTGCTACTCAGCCTCTCTGGGAAGTGGAATTCTACCTCAACCCTTGAATCTTGAATTCTTTAGTGGGACAGATTTAGACTAGTTTTGTTGGTAGTTTTGAAAGAGTCGGTGCCTGAGGGAACAGAATTTCTTCAGGCCTAGGCTCCTGCATCCTAGCCGCTGCTGGTAGTGACAGAGCTGTGTTGCTGAGTAGGACAGCTGGAGTTTAAAAGGCAGACATAGAACTAAGACAACAACAGCCTGTTCCACTGAGTTCCGGGACGGCCAAGGCTACACAGAGAAACCTTGTCTTAAAAAACTAAACAAACAAAAACAAACTCCCCAAACCTCTCTCTTTTCTTGAGACAGGATCTTTCTATGTAGCTATGGTTGTCCTGGAGCTATGTGCACCAGGCTGGCCTATGAACTAACAGAAATCCATCTGTTGTGCCTAACCTCCCGCCTTTTTATTATAAAAAAGAAATGGAAATGAAATGGTGCGTCCTGTCCCTTTAAGAGACAGCCCCCACACACTCCTAAGACTAGTTCCATAGCAACTGAGAAACCCTGTCTCAAAAAACAAACACACAAACAACAAACAAGGGACTGGAGAGGTGGTCCAGCAGCTAAGAGCACTGGCAGTTCTTCCTAAGGTCTTGAGTTCTTTTCAGATCAGGAGTTCTCTGTGCGACACCATGCTGGCCTCGAACTCACTGAGACCTGCCTCCTGAGTGCTGGGATTAAAGCATACTCTACCACT